AGAAATAATAAAGATTAAAAGGTCTGAGCCAGCGGGAGATCACATCCATAGCACAAGGCCAATGTAGAGCAAAATGGCTTTATTGCATGCGCCTGGGTACAGGCAGGCTGAGCCAAGAAGGGTTGAGCTTCAAATCAGGGTTGGGTTGTCAGTTATATACTCTACTTTTAGCTTCCGGCAGTTCCTGCTGATGTACCTTGTCTGGCTCATTGTCCACTTTGCCATAGGACTGGTGTGGTATCTCATCTGGCATCTGCTGGGTTATCCGTTATATTGCAGATAATCCAGATAATCCTTATCCGTACTCAGCAAAGGCTGAGCAAAGGTCATGCAAGCAACACAATTTCCACAGTTTCCACGTTTTGCAAACTTTTACCTTTACCCTTTAAAACATTACTGACCCTTTCAAAGTTTCCGTGTACCTTTTATACAGTTTCCCCCAATGATAACATCTTACAAAATTATAGTACAATATCATAAGCAGGATATTGACAGTGACTCAATACACCCATTTTATTCATATTTTAGCTTAACTTATATCATTCCCATGACATTTGAAAATGCTGCCCTGGCCGGTTTGGCTCAGCGGTTAGTGTCGGCCTGCGGTACAGAGAGACCTGGGTTCGGTTCCCGCTAAGGGCATGTACCTCGGTTGCAGTTTGTCCCCGGCCCTGGTTGGTCGTGCGGGTGGCAGCCACTCGATGTGTCCCTTCACAACGATGTTTCTTTCTCTCTCTCCCTCCTGCTCTATCTGAACAAAAAATGGAAAAATGTCCTCAGGTGAGGATAAAGAAAAAAAAAAAAAAGAAAATGCTAAGTAATTCTTACAGCCTAGAACACTCTCCTAAACTCATATAGGTTAATGACAATGACTCCTCCACTTGATTTCTAATAGATATCTCAAATTAAAACATGTGGCAGATCAAAATTCTCATCTTCCCTCCCAAATCTATTTCTCCAAGACTTTCCCATCTTCTTTAATATCAATGCCATGTTTCCAGTTGATCAGATCATTAAGTGTAGAATAATTCTCAATACTTTCTCTCATACTTCACATCCAAATCACCAACAAATCCAAAATCAAGCCTCGGATGGCCCACATTGCTAGCAGCTTAGCCCAAGACCCCACCATCTTCTACCTGGATTATTACAACAAGCCCACTAACTAATCTCTTTGATTCTGCCGTTGGTCTTCTACAATTAATTGTGAAGACAGTGGCTAGAGTAATATAAACACTTTTCTGTATTTAAGGTTTTACTGAGGTATAAAACACTCCTCTATTCAGAATCCTTTAATGGCTTCTTATCGCAGAGTAAAAGCCAAATGCCTTACAATGGTTAAGGTCCTGTACAACACAGCCCACTTACTTTGCAGGCCCCATCTCCTACTAGACTCCCTCTTATTCAATCAATGGCAGCCAAACCAGTTTCTTTGCAATTCCTCCAGGTCTTTACCCAAAGATCACCTCTCAGTAAGGCCTTCCCGGACCACCAAATTTTATTTATTTATTTTTAATATTTATTTATTTATTTGGAGAGAGAGCTAGAAACATCGATATGAGAAACATTGATTGGCTGCCTCCTGCTTGCCTCTACTCAATCCAGGCATCATCTGCCCTGATCAGGGATCAAACTGGGACCTCTGTCCATAGGACGATGCTCAATCCACTGGCGATGCTCAATCCACTGGCCACATCGGCCTGGCTGACCACCAAATTTTAAATGGCAGCCTACAAACTCTCACACTGCCCTCCTTATCCCCTTTCCCTAACTTCATTTTTCTTCATAGTATTGACCACCATTTAACATACCATATCTTTTAATTACTTTTTATTATCTGTCTTTCACCACTAAGTCATAAGCTTCATGAGGACAGAGATTTCAGTCAATTTCTCTAGCACCTAAAACAGAGCCCGACACAAAGTAGATGCTCAAGAAATATTCACAGAATAAAAAATCAGGCCCAAAGAGCTGAGGCATTTTTACCAAAATGTGACAAAATAGGGCAAGAATCCATGTCTCTGTGGTTTAGGAGTCACTTTTTCTAAGAATGGTGACAGACCAAACTGATCCAATCTCACTTTTTATTCAAGTGGTAACCAAAAGCACACATGCATAAAATAGCTATATCTGATCAGGTGAATAAACTATTTAGAATAACTTGATTATAGACTCAAGCTAGAATTCATTAGCACCAAATTAAAATGCAACCAACTGTCTAAAATAAGCAAGTGTCGTACTAAGCACCTAAAGTGTTTAAACTTTTTTCTTTTTTTAAAAAACGATATAGATGACAACTTTAAGAGTTTAAACAATGAACTTGATAATACTATAAAATAAAGTCCTATGGAAGAACATAAAGCAGTACTCCTATACTGTTATATTAAGTATATAGTTTATCCTATTTTTGAACTAGAACCAAGGCAGAACAACTATCTGTAAACGAAAAAAGAAACTTATGTTAACTAACAATAGAAAGATACTGTTTCTGGGAAAATTATAAAATATTTTTTGAATTGTATATAAAGGTGATTAACAAAACTTTTCTAGAGACAGATACGGAAATAAAGACCAGTATATCACCAAGTCCATCTAAAAACCACTTTTGAAGCTTTTGGAAAATCACTGATTTACAGTAGAAATTAGTTTGGAAGCTTAAAATTAATGGATTCATTTTTTAAAAAATTAATTGCAAGGGAACACATTACATAGTAAGTAGTCATCTAAATTAGCTTTGAATCTCTTTCAAAGTAAAACGGTTCTAGTGTTAGAATAAAAAATCACAACTGAGTCATACTTTCAGAATCTGCCTATCCTTATGGCAACTAAGATCACAAAAGGTGTTTTGCTTGTCTTTAAAATTCAAGAAATTGGTATAGTACAAATAGTGACCTTTTGATTGTGCTGGAGGGAAAAATATAAGATGTACTAAGTAGATAGTTTTTAGTCGTGGGTCAAATCGTACGGTTTACCTAAAAACAAAGCAATTCACCTATTTATATAATAAAATCTGTAGCACATGTATGAAACTATTTCTCAGGCATTTAAACAATACTATGTTCAATTAAAAGAAAACAGTAACTTCAAACTGTTTAGATCTTAATGCAATGTATCTAAAACAAATATCAATTTTTAAAATATACATGTATGTGTAGAAAAAATACATGAAAGAAACAAGTGCATTATTAGCCCTCATATTTTTTTCTATTTTTAAAAATTCTCACCTGAGGATATGTTTATTGATTTTAGAGAAGGGGGGGAGGGGATCGATCGACCGGTTACCTCCTGTAGGTACCCCAACAAGCGATGGAACCTGAGACCTAAATATGTGCCCTGATCGGAAATCGAACACACAACCTTTTTTAGTGTACAGGATGATGCTCCAACAAACTGAGCTACCCTGCCTGGGCAATCCCATATTTTTTAATGTTACCTTTACCCAAAGGAATTACATTAATGGTTAAGTGGATACTGTGTGTTGCTCAGAGACAAATACTTAACTTTAAAACTTATTTTAAGACCTGCAAGATGTTTTATTATTTCTTTACACCTTGAATTCATAGTTATTAAGATAATTTTAATAATAATAATCCAAAAATAAGACACAGGATATAGTAATGTCTAATGATCTGAATAGCCAAATTAAAAAGCTCTAACTAGGCACTATAGAGAATCTTTAAACAATTATAGGTAATCTCTTGGAAGTCTTAGCAAAACAAAGCAAACATTAAACAGTTTTAAAGAATAGAAAAGAATATAAAAATAGACAACATAAAAGCAGTAAATCTGTAGAACATAAAACAAACTCTCAAAATTAAATTATTAAAAATAAAAAAGTTGAGAATTACTATTGTTAAAAAACTATAGAGTTAGAACTGGGTAACATATTTTAAATGACAGTAAAAATAACTACAATTTTGGAACATAATTGTAGAGACCTGTTGTTCCAAGGACATGAAAATAACCATGGCTTCCTAACAACCAGAGCTTTTATATTCCTTAGACTGCATTCATGCTAGAGGAAGCTTAAAGGGCAGCAGCCAAAATGACTAAACTTCAAGTTGGATGTTGAAGCACTGATTTGATGAGCTTTTTTTGGCCAGAAGTGACCCACAAGCTTAAGATCAAGAGCCAAAGTCCCCAATGGAAATTTGTGCTCAATTTGGTGGGCTCTGAGACCATCTCTGGCTAAATTAGCATCAACCTTATGGGAGGCCAGCCATGAAGTAAGGGAGTCTCCCCAAGATCTGATCTCTTGAGACCACAACCTAGAGCAGGTCCCACTGTAAAATTATTCACATTCCTTGGAAAGAGAGAACAGGCATCAGTTGTGTCCATCGAAGGGGGACACTGTCCAGGTGTACCCTGGACATTTTTTGAAATCTCTGGGCTGCTTCTGCATCTGAAAAATAAGAAAAATAGCACAATGACAGACAACGAATGAGGAAAAAGACAATCATTGGGCCTAAACACTTAAGACTTTAAGAAATTAAAAAAGCAGACAAAACAGACAAAAAGACAAACAGCCATATCATTTGAAATGTATTATTCTGAGGGCAAGTACAGCAGAGAAAAACACAAATTATTTTAAGCAAAGTAAGAAAATGACTATAGCAACAAAAGTTATTTTGGAAAGGGCCAACTGGAGAAAACAACTTATGCTAAGATATGTCAACCTGACACAAAGATAAGGTGGAATAAAGAATCTAGTCCCATTTGAAGCTGAAAAAAGCTGAATAATGAGAACTAGTGTCATGAAGTTGGCTGCTTAACTGCCTTTGTGTAAGAAAACATCTCAGAACTTTGAACTTAGGAAATTCCAACTTGTCTTGCACCAGGTCACGAGCTCCATAGAGCAGGAACCTATTTCAACAAGCAGCTTTAAAAAAAAACAAAACAAAATACTTTAATATTTTTCATTTCTATTAACGATACATTTAAAAATGCAATAGTGCTAAAATCCATCAAAGTAAAATGCTCTGAATAAAAATTAAACTTACTCAGAAAGATGTTCAGAAGTTGGGATACGAACAAAAGCTGAAATTCGAAAAAAAGTTTAAATTTAAAATAGCATATGAAATATGATGAGTGAGAATAACAATTTCATAAAGAACCTATATTGTGGCTGACCAAAAATACGAAAATAAATATCAAAAATCCAAAGTAACATAATTATATATACACATACCTTTGTCTACTACAACTTGGCAAGTATGAGTTTCATGCTGACTCAAGTGCGTAGCCATATTATCTAAGCCAGAAACATCAGCTAGGAAATCACAATTAAGGCACACTAGAGTAATGCCCCTATAAAAAAAAAAAAAAAAAAAAAAAGCACATAGTAGAAAAGAAAATTTTTTTTATAATCTTTTATGAAAATCCATATATTAAGTTCAATGATTATTGTTTCATAATTTGCTTTTTGTGTCTGTCAATCCTATTTTTGTTATACAAACTTGATATAACAAAAATTACTGTCTAGAAAATGGTATAGCCATATCCAAATTATGCTATCATTTATTTACAGAAACTATTCTTTTTTAAAATAAACTTTTACTTCTCAGACCAGTTGCTGAAAAGCTTGGAGTCAAGAGATCTAAAGCCCAGTGTTGTTTCCACTAACAACTTGTGTCACTTTAACAAGTCACAAAGTACCCGTGTCTCTGCCCTTCTGAATGCAAGGGTACAGTAATCATTCAATCAATACATATTTACAGGGAATACTATGCAGCTCTAAGAACGAAAGATCTCTTATCCTTTGAGACAACATGGAGAAACCTCGAGAGTATTATGCTAAGTGAAATAAGCCAGTCAGAGAAAGACAAATACCACACGATCTCACTTATTTGTGGAATATAATGAACAAGGTGGGCTGATGAACGAAATAGACCCAGAGACATAGAAAGCAGTATGGTTCAGACTGACAAATCTCAGAGGAGGGGGAGTTGGGGGGATGGATGAGATGAACCAAAGAACTTATATGCATGTATGCATAACCAGTGGACATAGACAACGATGCTAGGGGTGTGGGGGAAGCAGGATGGGGAGGAGGGTGTCTATGGAAGAAACAGGAAAAACATCTGTAACAAAAATAAGTTAATAAAAATTGGAAAAAATATATATATATTTACTAAGACTGTCTTCTCACATTATGAATATGAATGGAAAAAAAATACAGTCTGCACTCTAACAAAGCTTACAATGTAATGTTTTATTTAGGTAAGAATAAATTAGAAGAGCAATGTTGCCCTGGCTGGTTTGGCTCAGCCGTTAGAGCATCAGCCTGTGGAACGTAGAGACCTGAGTTCGGTTCCCACTAAGGGCATGTACCTTGGTTGCAGTTTGTCCCCACCCTGGTTGGGGTTGGATGGGTAGCAACCAGTTGATGCGTCTCTCTCACATCAATGTTTCTCTCTCTCTTCCCCCTCTTTCCCTCCTGCTCTATCTGAAGATAAATGCAAAAAATGTCCTTGGGTGAAGATTAAAAAAAAAAAAAGAGCAATGTTAAGGCTTTAAATACATAGATCAAGTGTAACTGCCATCAATTGTGTACTATATGTGAAAGGTTTTTCCATATACTGATTCTCATCACAACTAACCAAGTTTGGTATTATTCTCAACTAATATTTGATTAATTAAAGTAGTTAATTCACTACTGAAGTCCAAAGCTTGAGCTCCTCAGCATCCTTGCACTGTGAACTGGCCCACTTGCTGGAGCCTGAACTACTCATTTCCCTACCAAACACTGAGTAGCTCTGAAATGAAATATGTAAGGATTATAAATTTTCAAAAAGCCTAAGAAACAATTCCCACAATGTGTTGCGTTCGCTATTTGAAATACTTAAACATAACTGGCATAGTACAGTATGTGACATTGGCCTTAAGATTCTCATTTAAAAAGTTTAAACTTTTGACTTTTAGTTGAGATATTTAAAAATATTATTAAGCCTTCAAAAAGTATGTAAATGTTTCAGAAAACTTAAAAACCCACTATATAATTAATTTATATGAGTTAAAAACTTGGGAGCTTGTTGAGTCAAGCACCTGAAGTGTTATTTAAAAAGAAAAGAAAGCCCTGGCCGGTTTGGTTCAGCAGTTAGAGCGTCGGCCTGCGGTCCTGAGAGACCCGGGTTCGGTTCCCACTAAGGGCATGTACATCGGTTGCAGTTTGTCCCCGGCCCTGGTCGGTTGTGCGGGTGGCAGCCACTCAATGTGTTCCTTTCACATCGATGTTTCTCTCTCTCTCTCTGTTCCTCTCTCTCCCTCCCACTCTACCTGAACAAAAAATGGAAAAATGTCCTCGGGTGAGGATAAAAAAAAAAAAAGAAAAGAAAATATTAACTGTATAAAGATGTTAAGTTGTTTAAAGGAACCTGAATTGCAAATGGGACTTGTTTAAAAAACTTAGTCTGTTCAACTTAAATGAACCTTTTCAAACATTAATTAATGGCCCTCTCAAAAGTGATTATCAAAATGTACTTGATTTCTAAATGCTATTCTTTTATTTTTTTCCAATCCTCACCGGAGGAAATTTTTCCACTGATTTTCAGATAGAGTAGGAGGAAGGAAGGGAGAGAGATAAGAAGATCAATGTGAAAGAGACACATCGACTGGTTGCCTCCCCCACGACCCTGGACCAGAATCGAACCTGAGACTTTTTGTCTGCGGGCTGATGCTCTAACTACTGAGCAAAACCGGCCAGTGCTAAATGCAGTATTTTTAAGTTCAACTTAAAAGCTCAAGGAAAGTTAAGATTTAAATACTTAACTTTAAAGACTAATTAAAGACTAACTACATAGTCTTTTCTATTAACAAACTGCCCTCACAGACACTAAAAGTGGTCTCAACGGTAAGTAGTAGCTCAGTGCCTATTCCACTGGATATAGTTTTGTAATTGGGGTTTTCAATAAAATTTCTTGTACTGGGAAAATGTGTGTGGCTGGGAATACTACATGTGGGTCATCAAGAGAGAGTGCTAGTCTACACAAAGTAAGGAGAATAAAACCCAAATCTAGAGAAAATAATAAAGACCAGATCACCCTGCCTCAGCAGGCTAGACCAGAGAGAAGCCATATCAGTTAGTGAAGGCTTTGTTTCCCTTTTTGTTCTGGTTGTTCCTTTTCCTCTTAGGGGTCCATGAGATTGTTTAGAATCCTGCTAATATATTATTTTTGCTTAGGTAAAAAAAAGATCATGTAATGCTATCATTGTTATTGTCAATTTAACAAAGCATAAAATACACTTTTGAAATTCACCACATACTTTAAACATTTAAGCATTTTACCAATACACAAATACAAACAAATAACATACCATAGACTGACTTTTCCCCTGAAGCTCTAGTCTAACAATCTGCTGTGTATTTTTAAAAAAATTTTTTTTCCTTTACTGATTTTAGAGAGAGAGGAAGGGAGAGGGAGAGAGACATAGAAACGTCGATGAGAGAGAACATCGACCGGCCGCCTCCTGCATGCCCCCGACTGGGGATAGGGCCCACAACCTGGGTATGTGTCCTGATGCTCCACCACCGAGCCACTCTGGCCAGACTGTGTATTAATACCTACATGTCACACTGGCACATCAAAACTGACCATAACACTAAAGTCATGTATTTCCTCCCCAAATCAACTCCTCCTTTCTTAAGATGCCATTTCCTCTAACAATAAAGCCTAAACTATAGTTATCGCTGTATCTTCTTCCTTAAAATAGTTAGTATGTCAAGCATTTTACAATATTAAAAATTTATTGAGTACTTAATCTGTGCCAGGCTAATAAATTTAGACATACCATCTCATCTAAATCTTACAACAACCCAAAGTATGTGTTATAATTCATTAGCTTTTCATAGAGGAGAGTTAGCTCAGTATTCTACCAAGGACAGGAATGGTAAAGGTCGGGACCAGGTTTTAAATTGAGCGCTTTGATTCCAGAACCCAAATTCTTAATGATACAATACCACCTCATCATTTTAACTCAAGTCCTTACTAAATCATTCAAAACTATTACAATAGTCCTAATCTATAGGATTCATGCATCTATTATTCACCCTACTGTTGAAGGTGAGAAGGGTATCTTCGATTCAACCTTCCTTTGATATTACTTGATTCTATATGAAACATCAAAGGTTCTCCAGTGCCCTCCAAAATTAAACCCAAACTCCTTAGCCTTATTTTCAATGCTTTCGCTGGCTCTAAACTAAAAATTACTGTCCCAGACTTCACACTTACTATATGAAGTTAATGCTTCATTTATTTGCTACCAGCTATTTCATGTGTATGCCTTCTACGTTTTCCATTTCTGCATCTTTATTCATGCTATTTCTTCCCACTTGAATGCTGCTGTGCCTCTTCTATCAATATACATAATATATTCTTCAGAGCACAGTATAACTAACACCTATCCAGATTATTCCAAGTAATCTCTCTCCCCTGTGAAATAAATAACCTTCATTGCACTTATTAAAATCTTCCTTTCATTATTAATTATTTATGTTCATCTATATCTCCCACTCAATAAGCTGTATATTCTCTGAAGACTGGTTCTAAGACATCACTTTCTTTACAGGAGCTGTACATTATGTATATGATAAATGCATAATAAATAGCTAAAGAATGAATATTCCATTCCAATAAAGGAGTAATTACAAAAATTATTGTTCTACACAATTATAAGTATGCTATACTCCCTTCACAGGAACTGACCAATTTTCAATTTGATAACTATTCAAATGGAGAGAAAAAAAGCCCAGATCTTTAAAATAATATAGTTCATTTAAAAACAACTTACATCTAAGCTTGACAACAGTGATAAAAATCAAACTTAAATTTCATCTTTTAAATGATTCAAAACTCTTTCAATTCTTATAAAAATTTTCAGGAAAGGCAACATCTAATATAACTTAATCTATTTCATCAAACTCAGTAAATGTTCTAAAATTAGCATTACCATACTTTTTAAAATGAATCAAATTTTATTTCCTATGAGCTACTGCTCCAACATCATGGATGAAACCTACTGTCCACACAATTATTTTCAACATATACTTTAGTTTATTCAACAAATATTTACTGAATGCACTAATCAATGCCTGGCACAGACAAAAATTCAGAACACACAGATTCTAGTAAGACACTGAAAATAAACAAAAAAAGTAAAGTATACAGTATATCAGATGACGAAAAATGATCTAGAGAAAAATTAAGCAAAAAAAAAAAAACAGGTAGGGAGTGCTGGAGTCAAGCACAGGGAAGAGAATACAATTTAAAATTTTTGTTCTCATTTTATAACCTAAATGCATGATGATTTCATCTTGATACCACTTGTCACCACTGAAACAAATTTAGCAAGAGAATACAGGTTAGTCATACCTTAAGTCTAAGAATATAACAGATGGAACTATGTAATATCCAGTATCAATCATTTAGATTTCCAAATTGGGCATCCTACCATCAGGTTAAAAAAATATATTATTATAACAAAAACCACAATGAGTTACCACTTTACACCCACTAGGGTAGCTATAATAAAAAAGATAATAACAAATGTAGGCAAAGATGTGGAGAAACTGGAACCATCATATGCTGCTGGTGGGAATGTAAAATAGTTGAGGTACTTTGTAAAACAGTCTAGCAGATTCTCAAAGGCTCAACAGTTACCATATAACCCAGAAATTCCAATCCCAGATATATACTAAAGAGAAATGAAAAGTCATGCCCAGACAAAAACTTGTACACAATTGTTCACAGCAGCATTATTTATTATGGCTTCAAAGTTAAAATATACTAAATGGATAAACCAACTGTGGCATAACTATATAACAATATTATTTAGCAACAAAAACTGAAGTACTAATTTACACAGATGAATATGATAACATTCTAAATGAAAGACGCCAATCACAAAGAATCACATATTGTATTATTCTATTTATATGAAATGTCCAGAATAGGCAAATCTATACAGGCAGATAGAAGTTTAGTGGTTACTCAGGGATTGTTGGAGTTGGAAGAAAATGAGGATAAGCATAATGGGTACAGAGTTTCTCTTTAGAGTGATAAAAATGTACTAATATTAACTGTGGTGATGGCTGCACAACTCGGTGAATATACTAAAAACTATTAATTGTACAATTTAAGTGTGTGAATTGCATGGTATATGAACTATATCTCATTAAGGATACTATGTAACAAAATTTAAGTCATAAAATTTTTCAACAGAAAGAATTATAAAAAAAATAGTTACCTGAGATTTTCTGAATGCTTCTTAAACATACAAAACCTTTTACTTGGATGATTACTGTGAAAGCTGGAGAGACAAAACAGATTTTATTAAATTTATTCTACAGTAATCATATTAACTTATAGTTACATTTCAAGTCTATACTTAAGTTTCTAGTTTTGAGTAAAAGATCATGATGTAAATAAAATGTTTATCAGCCCTGTGTAACTCAATATTTTATCTTACATTCCTTTTTACCTATTTATTTTCTAATGACACAAATTTCCCTAAGCATTTGCTTATATGATCAGTACCTTCATCATTACAAAAAAGAAAATATTCACGTTTCTTTAAAAGGTAAAACAATTTTTTAATTTGTTAGAGTGGAAAATAATTTTAATTTTTTGCTAATGTTTTTAATATAATATAAATGGTTATCAAGAATAATTATTATTTTTTAAATCATTTTCTAATCTTAACATCCTCGTGTTGGGAAGGGGCAGATTCTAACTGATCTTGGGAATAAATAGTACTCAAGGTAAATGCCAGTTTACCATTTATAATATCAAATATTTAGAGAGTTCTTTGTAGTTACTAGCAAGGGTTTAAAAAGAAAAATAAAGCAGAACTCATGAGCTAAAACAATACTTCCCCTGAGCACAGAAGAGAAAACCACTAAACAAGCTTTATAATCAATTATAGCTTTTTTTTATATCCTCACATGAGAATTTTTTTTTTTTTTTTGCATTTATCTTCAGATAGAGCGGGAAGGGGAGAGGAAGGGAAAGAGAAACATCAATGTGAGAGAGACACACCAAGTGACTGCCACCCACATGACCCCAGTAGGGCCGGGGACAAACTGCAACCAAGGTACGTACCCTTAGCGAAAACTGAACCCGGGACACTCTGGTCCGCAGGCCGACGTTCTAATCGCTGAGCCAAACCAGCCAGGGCTCAATTATAGCTTTTATATACCTTTTTAAATCTGACACAGAAAGCTTCCCTGTACTAGACAGACAGGATTAGTTTAACACAATATAAAAAAGGTGGAGTCATCACCTGGGAGCTCACTGAGAACAGCAAAGTCTAATGTATCCCCACAAACCTATGAATTAATCTCTGGCAGTGGGGCTCAGGAATGTATTTGAACAAGCTTTTTCAGTAATGCTTATGTAAGCTAAAATTTCACAGGCAGTAGCCCTAGCTTGCACTGTTAGCCTCCCCCACCTCCACCAAGTAAGCCAACTAACCAGGTCATTCTCAGATACAAGGTAACTAACGCCGGCACAGCATGTATGTATGAGAAAAGAAATACTGACTAGCTATAATCCCTACTAAATATGCTCAGATTTCTAATAGTCATTTCTTCAATCTGGGGATAATTACTATTAAAGAGTTTACAGCCCAGTTAGTGTGGTTCAGTGGATTGAGCATCGTCCCATGGACTGAGAAGTCCTGGTTCGATTCCCAGTCAGGACACATGCCCAGGTTGCAGGCTCAATTCCTAGTAGGGGGCGTGCGGAAAGCAGTCGACCAATGTTTCTCTCTCTCATCGATGTTTCTCTCTCTCTCTTCCTTCCTCTCTCTCCAAAAAATAAATAAAAACGTATAAAGAGTTTACAAATTCAAGACATCACAAAAATAATAGTATTTTTAGAAGAAAACATCACGGGTTTGGTAAACACTGAAATTATATGCAAAAATTTGTGTTTCCTCAAAGAAATGAGTCCAAACTTGTATCTGACTGCCAAAGAATGTGAACCAAAATGTTATCTTAAAAAAAAAACCCACACACAATGATTTCTTCTTTCTCAAATTCAAACAGACTGTTTTGGTTTACTTATCTATTTAGCAAGAGAAGGGGGAAAAAATTACATTTTAGGGCCTTTATGATGTCTTCTATTTCTGTCTATGGCTTGTACCTTAAAACACTGGTACTTTTAAATTTTCAGTTTTCTGAATCCAGTTCCTTATCTATAAAAAAAGACATACTGCCTCTTTATTTGTATTTACTACACAAACTGCATAAAGTTTTATGTATAACATGAATGAATCTCTAGGTAACAAATAAAAACTACATTCTTTCAATTAGATCTGCATAAAGCCAGGATTTTTATTATAATATAGTAAAAACATAATGTTAAAGTCTAGGTTTTAAAAATTCACCACCTGGTTATATGACTATATAATTATCAAAACTCACTAAGCTATTCTCTAAAAATACTTAGATTTTTTTTTTTTTTAATTCCTCACCCAAGGGCACTTTTCCATTTTTGTTCAGATAGAGTGGGAGGGAGAGAGAGGAAGAGGGAAAGAGAGAGAGAAACACTGACGTGAAAGGGACACATTGAGTGGCTGCCTCCCGCAGGACCCCAACCAGGGCCGGGGACAAGGACAAATACAATGGAGGTACGCGCCCTTAGCGGAACCAATCCAGGGTCTCTGGACCGCAGGCCAATGCTCCAACCGCTGAGTCAAACCGGCCAGGGTATCTTCTTAATAATCTCGACTCAGTATAAGTAACGACTTTACTTCCCAAGAAATACAAAAGGAACAATTTCCTAAACATCCAACAATATTGATGGTATGCTTACTATATTTAAGACACCAGACTAGAGGTAAATGATACAATAGGAAAGAAGGCAAACTGTCTGTCTGCCTTAGAGTTGGGGGTTGGGGTGAGGAGGTGGGGGGGTGGATCAAACAGCAGGTGGCACAGAATAAATGTCTAATAAATATCCATTAAATGAGTGAATATATCTGGCCGAGTAGCTCAGTCAGTTAGAATGTCATCCCAATACACCAAGGTTGCAGGTTCGATCCCTGATCAGGGCACATATAAGAATCAACCAGTAAATGCATAAATAAGTGGAAAACAAATTGATGTTTCTCTCTTCCCTTTCCTCTCTCTCTCTAAAATCAACCACTCACTAAATCAATAAATAAAAAGAAGGTCCCAACTGTCTCACTTCAGGCAAAGCAAAGAGCAACACAGAGAGGAATTTTCAAGAAAGTAAGAGCTGAAGGAGCTGAAAAAGTAGTTAGAAATTAGATAATAAAAGGTCTTATATTCTTCAGAAAATTTGAACTTCATTCTATTAATGTTAGGAAGGCAAAGGATTTTAGGCCAAAAAGTGACCTGGCCAAATATGCCTACTCTAGAAACATAAGAAAAAAAGACTGGAAAAAGGGGTTGGGGGTGGGAGGGTGGAGACCAGCTATGATGCTATCACAATTATCCAACTGCTCTTCTAATGATTATTATTTAGAGTCAATAAATATATATAAAATATGTAATAAACCCAACCATATCTTATAAAAATTCAGTACTGTGTTATCTATTATACAAGAACAAATTATTATACATACATTCTTTTTTGTTGGAAAATTTTTAAATCACCTTTCAAAGCCTAAGTGAAATATCATTTATAGTACACCTTCCCTTACTTCTTCTTTAAAGAATCCATTCTTACCTGCTCTGTGTCCTCATGGTCGTTTGTTTATCACATTAAGCTAGGTAAATATATCTCACCTACTAACTTGTGAAAATCAAGGGCAAGGACTTTATCCACAACACCTAATATTGACAACTTAGAAAAAATAATAGCTATAATTATGTGAATAACTCCTAAGAGCAAATCATATTATTAAGCACTTTAATTTTACATTTTCTTTAATAATCACAGTAAGTTTCTTATGAAGAAAAGAAAACAAGGAGTCAGGTAATTTGCCCAAAGTCACAAAGGTAATTAATAAATAAATGGTGAAGCTTAGATTAAAATACAGATTTGTCTGATTCACCATAAGCTTCCTATACTTCTTTGCAAAACAGCAAACAGAAAGAGATATTAAAATACCTATGTCTATTAACTTAATTCTACTATATGTAGAGATAAAGCCTTCTTATACATCATGTGGAGGGAAAATACCAATATTATATAGCAATTTGTTTGGATTTGTTTTTTTAGGAGACTCCTATTGCTACCTAAAAGCTGTAAGTAAGTAAGGTACAATAAAAGGCATCAAACCAAAATAATGCTCTTTAAAAAATTACTTAAAAATTATTTAATGATGCTTTTCTTTGAAAGCATTTTATTCCAAAAAATGCCCCAATTACATCACTGTTTTTTAATACCCTCTTTTGAGATTTTATTTACAGCCTTTTATAATTACAACAAATAATGACTATCACTTGCTGTTTGTGGTAGGTATAATGTGGTAGGTGACATAGTAAGTACAAAGAGCCCCTTGTTTCAAGGAGATATACAGACACAAACAAATAAAATAAAAGGCAGAATCAATGAATGGTACAAACTCAAAGTAAGGAATCATCCTTGTGAGTGGTTGTAGTGATCAAACACTTCAAAGAAGGTCAATTGAAAAGAAGGACAGGGACATTCCAGGAAGTAACAAAAAATAAAGAAAGCCACGGTCAAAAATGAGTACAGGAAGGAATTTTACCCAGAAGACTCCCCAACAGGGATGGGAAACCTTTTTTCTGCCAAAGGCCATTTGGATATTTATAACATCATTCCTGGGCCATACAAAATTATCAACTTAAAAATTAGTCTGATATATTTGGTCAGGTTAATTTGGTAAGGTGTGTGAAGTTAGCTGGTATTGATTTTGTGGGCCAGACGTTCCCCACCCCTGAAGCAAGCACTACTAAATCGGGGTGGGAGTCTTTATAGAATGACTGGGACAGATATAAGACCAGAGGGGAAAAAGACTATTGGAGAATACAGAGGTGCTATGGATAGGAATTAAAGGCACTCATCCTCTGGAGAAAATGAAACTTCTGTATATACAGAACTCCAGCTTATAATAAGAATCCAAACTGGGCAGAGGTATTGGTGGACCATTCAATGGGCGATACCAAAGGCAGTGAGACAGGAGTTCCAGTGAAGCAGAGAAAAAGGAAAAGGAGTCTACCACACCCTTAGAGTAGCAATGGAAGCTTGCATTCCATATGAAGCTAACAATGAGTAGAGCTAATCGTGTGTATGATGACAATAAAATGCAAGGTTGGGACTCACTTGGGGAACTGGGAAAAGGGTATGGAGGGAGTCAGGCTAACTGGAAATGTTTTGGAGTAAAATGGATTTGGAGGTTGTATAGGATAAGTGGGAAGGCTATGATAAACGGGAGTTGGAAGGGTGGAATGACCCTTGGTTTAAAAAAACCAAGTATTTTCAAATTTGATCCCCTATAAATTAAGGCAGAATTATAGCCCCATTTTGGGCAGCAGTGAATTTGTCACAGAGTAAGAGATATTCCACACAGAAGTACACTGGGAGAAGTACACTGGGGGCCTGGTTTAGAGGAAATGGGATATAGGTGTAGACTGCTGCAACAGTTTGGAGGCAGAGTGGCAAAATGCATAAGGTGTGGTGTCAGGAAGCCACGTAAAGTGGCAGATCAAGATAATTTCATGAGCTTAAGAAACTTGGGGCAGTGAATTATTTCCGGCTGGTGCGCCAGTCACACAAATGATGCCCCGAAAGAGTATCTGGGTGGTAACTGTGTGACTTCTGCAGGTTATAAAATGTTTGGCTTATTTGTGTCCCTTTTAGATGCCAGTGAGTCAAAGGTAAAAATATCTATAAAACAATTAGAAATATACAGTTGGATCTCAGAACAACTAAGGACTGAGTAGAAAGATTTAAAGTTGAAAGGTAAAAGTGACAGTGGTTAAGTTACCAACAAAGGAAATGTAAAAAGGGAAGAATTGTTGAAGGAAGAAAAGACAATGAAATAGAGCAGCCGCCAAAAAGGAAGAAAAATGGTGGTAACAGTTTAACAGAAGCTGAGGAGAACAGTTTCAAAAGTGAGTGACAACAATGTCAAAAACTCTGAAGTGAAGGAGTAATAAGAGTTTTAAAAAGTAAATAAATGTGGTACATGAGTACATGACATAATCTTTTTAAATTTTATCCTCACCCGAGGACATTTTTGCATTTATCTTCAGATAGAACGGGAGGGAAAGGGGGAGGAAGAGAGAGAGAAACATCAACGTGAGAGAGGCTGCCACCCACTTGACCCGAACTGGGGCCAGGGACAAACTGCAACCGAGGTATGTGCCCTTAGTGTGAACCGAACCCAGGTTCTCTGGTCCGTGGACCCACGCTCTAACCGGTGAGCCAAACCGGCCAGGGTGACATAATCTTTAAAGAGGCAGGGTTAGTTGGGCAGGTGGGGATGATACTCAAATTTAAGGCCAAAAAATAAATCACAAGTTAGTAACAAACACTTTACAAATGTAAAACAGTAAGAGAAAGTAAAGAAATAAAGAAGTAGGCAGTAAGGACAAATCTCCCTAATCTTAAAAAACAAAAAAGCACCTCAAAATGTCTGTAAGCAAAAGGAACCTGGTTGAGAAAAGAGATGAAGTAGCAAGTTAACGGAATAACATTGTGGAAGAACTAGAGGAGATAAGGGACAGGGTTAACTTTGTAGAAGTGAAACATCATTGATTTCAGAGATCAATGTCTGGATGAAGGTAAAAGGAAAAAAAAATGTTCAGATATAAACTAGTTAGGTAAAGAATTCTAGAACAAAATCAAAGCAGTAATCAAAACAGATGACCCTGCCCTGGCCATCTTGGCTCAAGGATTAGAGCGTTAGCCCATGGACGGAAGGGTCTCGGGTTTGATTCCCAGTCTGGGTTGCAGGTTCGATCCCCAGCACCGGTTGGGGTTGTGTGGGAGGCAGCTAAATGATGTGTCTCTCTCACATCAATGCTTTTTTCTCTCTCTCCACTCTATCTAAAAATTAATAGACAAATATCCAGGCGCAAGGATTAAAAAACAAACAAATTAAAACCAGATGACCCTGAGGGTGAGGTTGACTATAAAGTTAGATGAGTGTTGCTGGACTTTGGAAAAAGGAGTCAAAGCCCTAAAAGTGATAGGGAAATAGGAATGCAAAAGAAATACTCTGTGTATATAAGATTAAAATGGCACATGGTAAGAAAGGAGGTACAATAACTTAAAAGTTGATGTGAAGTGCTGACACTAAAGAAGTAAGGGTACCACAAGGTTAGGCCAATCAATGGGGAGGAAACTAGCAGAGAGGTGCTGAAGCCATCAAGAAAGGTGGCAGAATTCTTGAAAGGAGCAGCTGATAATGACCAGAAAATTACTTTTATTATACTTTAATTCTAACTTAAAAAAACAAACAAAGAAAACAACCTAACTAGTTTATATCTGAACAATTGTTTACTGTTTTTTAAATATAAAAATCCACCCTGAAAGACGTCTCTACTAATGTGATACAAGTGAAAGTAATGTGGGCTGTGAAGGCTTTATCTGCACAGAGTAAGTACTAGGTACTCAAATAATCTAAGCTGAAAGAATTAATGAAAAATATTCCAACAATGGCATCATAACTAGAATAGTCTCTTATTTTACTGACAGAATTCAAGGATAGATAGCCTGATAGGTGGATAGATGGATTAAACAGAGAGAGAGAGAGAGAGACAGAGACAGAGAGAGACAGAGAGAGAGAGAGAAACGGATTCAATCAAGTTCCTAGCACCACTGAAAATCCTAGAGTCTCAAAGTGAGACTGCTTTGAAGAGAATAGCACTCATGAGATTACATGTATTAGTAAAACATTAAAATTTTTATCTTTAAAAATAACCATTTTTGAAAGTCCTACAGGGAAAACAAATTCCTATAGAAAATCTATTTCTCTAAAGAACCGAACTTAATTTCATTAGTCTAAATATTCTTACAATTTTAGCCCTGGCTGGTTTGGCTCAGTGGTTGGAGCGGTCCGGAGAGACCCGGGTTCAGTTCCCGCTAAGGGCACGTACCTCGGTTGCAGTTTGTCCCCGGCCCTGGTTGGTCGTGCGGGTGGCAACCACTCGATGTGTCCCTTTCACATTGATGTTTCCCTCTCTCTCTCTTCCTCTCTCTCCCTCCCACTCTATCTGTACAAAAAATGGAAAAATGTCCTCGGGTGAGGATAAAAATAAATAAATAAATATTCTTACAATTTTAGTTACAGTAATTTTATGAGTTTTTATGCTGGAAAACAGTACCAGGCATTATTATAAAAATTTTCCACTGCTAGATGTTTTTAGCTCCTTGAAGAGAAAAGTTGTTTTCTAAAAGGATAACTGTTTTCAAAAACCAAACTTGCTGAATTATAATTCAATTAATAATTACAGATGTTTAACTCATCTTACCTCATCATATGATTTACATAGGCTTTGCTACAGCTAGTGTTGTATCTGCAAAAACTACAGTGGACATATGTAGGAAAGTGGTTTGCAAATTCTTTTACTTCGGAACAACACTCAATGCACTTGTGACCTCCCCGACGATACCTTATGGAGATATAAAGAAAATAATAAAAAGATATTTTAAAACAAAATAATGAGAGGTTTATTAATGTTCTTTTAATTTAAGCCAAGCTGTTTAAATTAACATATTTAAACATATTTAAACACACTTATAACTTGAAAATTTGCTATGGAACAACAGGTAGAATAAGTGTAAACAATCTAACATCAGTTACTGTTTGTCACCGGAATAAAAGGAATTAATCAATTCAAATGTCATAAGATATAAGCACAACATATAATAATACCAATGTAATAGATAAGTATTATAGAAAAAATATATAGTAGTTATTAACAACAGTTGCAAAAAAATACTTTATTTGCTTGGCGTTTATGCCATTAAGTGATAGCATATGAATGTATGACAGTTGTGTAATAGGGTACATTTATATTAGATAAAAATTTTATTCTTATAGTTAAGATTAAATTAGTATTGTATATCAGGAATAAAAGATTACCTTAAGTTCCTCAATGCTGTATTGACTTTACTTTTTCTATTGCTACTAGCCAAACTGCTTTGTTTTTTTTGCATATTAGAGAATTTTGATTTTAATTTAGATTTATTTCCATTAGGCTTACTTGCATTAGGTTTACTTGCATTAGATTTAGTTGGATTAAGTTTACTTGTGTTAGATTTGGTGGGATTTTTAGCAGTTATACTTTTTGTCCTTGGAGGTGAAACCTGTAGGGTAGAAGTGTTTGCACTAATGGAAGGTGTAGTTGAAGATCCTGATTGAAGAGGTCCAACTGAAGCTCGAATAGTAACCTACAAAAATAAAGATAATATTTACTTTAGAAAATTAATCCTTGCATTAGTATTTAAATATCACCATATAGCAAAAAGTTAAATATCATGTATTTTAAAAAGAGTAAATATTAACTATAATTGGATGTCTTCCATTTATTTAAAATGTTTAAATAAAATTATATTTGTTACTTATTTATTTCTATTATATATTTGTATTGATATCAGTTATATGTTGTTATTAATGGATAATTAGAAATTATATGAATATTAAAGAGCACATTCCATAGCTATTTTTATGCTCTGATATAACTAAAACATTCACATAGCAGTCAAAATTTAAATCTTGAAGCTTGAAAAATAACTCTAGAAAGGCCTGCATTACCCTTTGCCCTGCATTACTCACACACAGTAAATGTGACTTCTTACCAGGGGATCAATTAGCAGAATTTATTATTATAAAGGTTATGGGAGGGGCTATATCAATTCAATATACTTCATGGAGAGTTTAATAATATTAAGTATTTCCTTAAAGAGAACTAATATAAAGCTTATGATTTAGTATTCAAAAAACATATTAATTGGTTGACAATGGACAACACAGATGCCTACCAACAGTCTCTTTAATCTTGACTATTCTCCCCTCATGTATATTAGGATTAGCCTACGAGGAAGTCCTATAAAGCATGTTTTGGTATCATATAAAAACATCAGACTAGGAATGAAAAAAAACTTGAAGTTAAATCTCATACTACTCCTTTACTAGCCATGTGGCCTAGAATAAATAATTTAGGCTCTCTAAGCTTCTTTACCTATAGTATGGGGCAATACCTGCCTTGTCTACCTCATCAGATTGCTGTATGAATTAAATAACAGAACCTATGAAAAAGCATACTGAAAGCCTAATTCTAAGGTGCTATAAAAACATTTAGTATCGTTATTATTATTACTGCTATTATCATTAATAAGGGAAAATATGAGAGAGGACTGCACCGCTTACATTCGTGTTATGCATGTCTAGTCCCAGCATGGAATGAATGGATTGCAGGGAAGGATGCTGGATAGCTTCTCTTGCTCTAGGTCTTCAGAGCATGGCTTTATATTGTTTAGTTAATTCAAATAACAGACATACCCACATTCAAAGGTAAGTACCCAAAGCCAAATATAAATGTTTTGGGGATTATTTCACTTTGGATTATCCATGCCTCTGTTTCCCTCCACTGGAGCAAATATTCAAGAGCTGACTGTATATAAAGAAGTCAGAAAAAACAGAGGAATATAAGGCAAAAGGGGAAAGGTAAATTACAATCATCAGTATGCAGTCAGACATGTGTTTGCTCACTTAAAACACACTGCTATCCAGCAGCAGAATTTGCTTCTCTGAGAACAGACTCAGTAACAACAACTTCAATAAACATCTAAAGTGGCATTCAAAGTACTATACTAAATGCGGAGGACACAAAAATAAATAAATCATGATTCCTGATCTCAAATAGTTTAGCAGATAAAACCAATGCACATACTGCCAACAATAGCTCAAAAATAGGCTATATAATATTGAAACAACCCACTGATCCAGGAAACACAATATCTAGTTGTACTTTTAACAAAGAAATACCATTCTAACATAGCATATACCACCAAAAAAACAATGGTTAGGTTTTTTTAAACATAAGAATAAAACTTGAAATTAGAGCATTAATAAAAACCAGAAATCATTTTTTTTAAGTATTAAATTCAATAGATAAAACCAGGCAGGAGTTAATTTCTATTATCATACCATATGTTAAAATACAACATATTTTAACTCACTTTTGTTCCAGGAGGTAATCCTTCTAGCTGCTTAGGTTTTATAAATGTTCGATGATGCTGAGTCTTGTGATCCATTTTCTCTTTGCATGTCAAAAATTGCAGTCTGCATTTTGTACAACGATGTATTCCTTTTTTCTATTTAGAAAACATTAAAAAGGAAAATAATTTCTATAGCCACAAATTGTGTGTCCTGTAACTGCTCTGGTTTAACTTTAATGATACCTAAATAATTATTTAAGTAGTATTTTATATCTCTCATCATAAATATTAGCAAAGTATTATTTCACTTTTTAAAAAACACTCTTTGCTTTAGTATTTGAGATTCAAAAATATCTGTTACTGTACAGAAGTTGAACATGAAAGCTTATCAAAGGTTCTAATGAAAGTTCTCTCAAAAGTGGTATGAAAGTTCCTTTACTTACAAAGTATTTAGACACAGGATACTGTGAAAATGAGCTATACTATGTTTTTATCCCAGAAAAATATAAATTCTAATTTTTGCTCTTTCCATTCGATTAAAAAGTTGGTAAAAGAAATTCAAATATCTAACCAGACATTTGAAGAAAGTTGTTATAGAAATGCTTGTATAAACACTGCTATCTAATAAAACTTGCTTCAGTGATAAAAATGTTTTAGAGCTGCACTGTCCTGTATGGGAGCCATTTGTCACACATGTAGTTACTGAGTACCTGAAATGTGCCAAGTATCTCTGAGGAATTGGATTTTTAACTTATTTCATTTTAAATAGTCACACATGATTAGTGGCAACTACAATGAACAGTGTGAATATGGGGGTATAAATCAGAACTATTCCCAATATACTTACTAAATGAGACACTTTGAAAGAATCTCCTCAAAATCAATCCTGTCATTAATTCTATAGACGGGAAACAGGACCCTAAAAACTCTAAATAATTTCCCCATAGCTAGTTAGTAATATTGCCAGACTCCTGATCCAGTGTTATTTCTATAACATAATCTCAAGTATAATCTTCACCTCTATGCTCTCATTAATTTGAAATTTTATATATATAAAATTATGTAAGTATATACATACATACATACATATAAACTTAAACAGAATACAAAAGAATGTTTTCTCTAAAGTTGCAATCTGCCAAATAAATCATTATTACTATTTAAATACAATCAATTATTTATAAAATTCAAATAAGGTAATATACTGGGAAGTACCTAGCACAGTTACTGGTACACAACAAGTATTTCATAAGTTCTTTACAAAGTTCAAAGCAATATAATAATATAATGTGATTGTATTACTATTCTAGCTGTATTTTAAGACTATTTTAGAAGGGTGGTGCATTGGAATATATAATAGTTACAGGCAACTTAAAGAAATTCACTATATTTGGCTCAAAGAAGAGGAGGAAAAAGAGAAAAGTTGGGCAATAAACAGATACCAAGACAATATGTCAAAAAGAAAGTTCTCCAGAATCTAGTTCCCAGAAATTTTTCTATATCTATAATTACTGCTTAGGTTCCCTCATCCAGTTTCATGGCTTTAATACCATCTATACAACTGCTTACTTGACATCACTATTTGATGTCTAATATACATCTCAAATCAACATGGACAAAATTGAATTCTGGATTTCTTCCCTATATCCCTGTCCCCCAAATTTGTTCTTTCCTTAGTCTTCCCCATATGACAGTATGTAAAAACTCCATTCTTAGGACAAAAAAATTGATTACTCTCTCTCTCATACCCCATACCCAACTCATTAACAAAATCTGTAGGCTTCACCTTCAAAAACTTTCATAGTCTTTCCACTTCTCATTACCTCTAACCACTGCTACCGTATCGTTCAAGTTACCCACCTGGGCTACTATAATAATTTCCTATCTTCTCCTTGTGATATTCTTTCCTCCCTAAAGTCTGTTCTTCCCATAGCTGCCAATGATATTAAAACATGGCAGACCTTTCACATGTGTATAATGCTCTGAGGGCTTTCTAAAGTCCTGATTCTGGTTTACAAGGCTCTACATGAACTGGCCTGCCTTCTATTGCTACAATCTTATCTCCTACTATTCCTCTTATTAGTTTACTCTGCTCTAGCCACAACTGGCCTCTTTTGATGGTCTCTGGGTATTCCAAGTATACATTCACTTCACTGCCTACATTTTACCTCTCCCAGATTTCCACATGGCTTACTCCTCTAGTTCCTTCAAAGAGGCCCTTTTTTGACCACTATATACAAAACAGCAACCACTCCTCCATTTCCAACACCCCCCCATCCTTGGCACTCCCTATCTTCCACATTTCCTTCCACAGTAACTATCACCAGCTAGCATCCAAAATATAAACACACATATATTTCTCTTTCTCCGTTATAATACAAATTCCAGAGAGTACAAACTTTGTTTTGTTCATTGCTATAAAATAAATAAAACAGCACCTGGCACATGGTAAAGCAACCAATAAATATTTGTTGAAGCAAAAAGCAAGAGAATAACAGTCAGAATGCTTATGAGCAGCAGGTACAATTTCATTATTTTATTTCAAAATGTCTGCTATTTCATTCAATGAACATTTGCCCAGAGCCCTGAGATAGAATACATTAATCTATCATTCCCTAATTGAACACAGACTTGAACATCTCTCGTGTATGCATGCATTTCAATGTGTTATGGCTGATAAAGATACAGCACATATTTTAATAAGGTGATATTTAGTCAACAAAAGAAATAGTGATCATTCCAAAGGTAGATAAATAATTTTCTATGCTGAACTTTTTGACAAGCATACTACATTGTCTGAGAGACATGAGGGATTTAAGGGTAATTCTGACTATATGTAACTTCTCCCCTTATGCACTTAGTATCAATGTGAAATCTGACTCTGTGGTGGAGCAACAAAAGGTTGGGCTCTGAAGTTAAATTTAACTCCCCTTTCTATTAGGTAATGTGACACTGGGCAAGTTACTTTCTCTAACTTTGTTTCCTTATCTATAACTTAAAAATAATAATATACATAGGGTGATTATAAGGATACAACAAGATAATGCATGTAAAACACCAGTTGCTGCCATCAAAGGCTGTATATCTTAATTGCTTATTGTTTTTATTAAAGATCTAATGAGCATATTTACCACATCCAAATAGCTCTATCTTAAGTCATACAAACTAGGCTGTCAGCCCTAAAATCACTCAAGACTTAATAATAGAACCTCCTTAAGAAAAGTTACAACCAAAAGACAATATAATGAGCCACAGAGGCAACAATTCTTATTGTCTAATACCTCAGTAATAATGTGTAATATCTCAATTACAAGTTTATAATCCTGCTCAGCTAAGGTTTTCCGGTCTTTTGTAAATAATTATATAAATTATACATACTTTGAAGGATGCCTAATTATCCTTTTTTTTTTTTAATCCTCACTTGAGGACATTTTCCCATTTTTTTGTTCAGTTAAAGTCGGGGGGCGGGGGAGACAGAGAGAGAAACATCGACATGAAAGGGACACATCGAGTGGCTGCCACCCGCATGACCCAACCAGGACCGGGGACAAACTGCAACCGAGGTACATGCCCTTAGTGGGAACCAAACCCAGGTCTCTCGGGACCACAGGCCAACGTTCTAACCACTGAGCAAAACTGGCCAGTGCCTAATTATCCTTCTTATTAATAAATTTTCCCCCTCTCTACTGTTGGTTATCTACCTCCTATGTACTCCAAACAAACAAAAAATTGGGAACCTAAGGCAAGTTAAAACATAAAACTAAGGGTATAAAATTGATGATAAATCACACATTTCTTTCATAATTATCATTCTTCCCACATCTACATCTTACTCTGGAGCTTAGCAAAGCATAAGGAAAAAATTCTGTGAAAGGCCAAATAATGAAACTATCTTTTATCTCATTTTCCCTTTCAAAATTAAAGGCCTAACATGAAATAGAGTACCAAGAATAGTGTTTCCCAAACTCTGTTCCTCAACAGTTAATAGGTATTCTTCAAATAAAAGATTCTGTGACCAGCCCTAGCCAGTTTGGCTCAGCAGTTAAGAGCGTCGGCCTGCGGTCCAGAGAGACCCGGGTTCAGTTCCCGCTAAGGGCATGTATCTCGGTTGCAGTTTGTCCCCGGCCCTGGTTGGGTGGCAACCACTCGATATGTCTCTTGTTTCTTTCACATTGATGTCTCTCTCTCTCTCTTCCTCTCTCTCCCTCCCACTCTATCTGAACAAAAAAACAAAAAAATGTCCTGGGTGAGGATTAAAAAAAAGATTCTGTGACCAAATAAGTTTGGAGAATACATACTTATATCCCTTACTTGGAGATTTATAATGTTTTAGCATATTAAAAGCTCTGAAAAGTCCTATTTTAAAAAACTATTTAATTTTATAAATCTAGGCATTTACCAAATTTATTTACCAGTAACATTTTGGGGGAAAACATGTATTAACACCTGATGGGACACTGTTAAGGAAACCCAGATCAGGAAAATCTTGAAAAAAAACAAAATTTCAGACACCATAAGCAGCAGAATTTTCACTGATACATCACTTGAGGCAACAGAAACAAAGGAGAAAATGAACACATGGGACTACATCAAACTAAAAAGCTTCTGCACAGCAAAAGATACAATCATCAAAATGGAAAGGCAACCCATTGTATGGGAGAGCATAATTGCTAATGATATATCAGATAAGGGGTTAATTTCCAATATATAGAGAGTGCTCATACAACTCAACAAAAGGAAGACAAAGAACCCAATAAAAAAATGGGCAGAGGAACTAAATAGACACCTCTCCAAACAGGACATACAAATGGCCAAGAGACATATGAAGAAATGCTCAACATCACTAATCATCAGAGAGATGCAAATTAAAAAACAATGAGGTATCACCTTACACCTGTCAGAATGGCCGCCATCAACAAATCATCAAATAACAAGTGTTGGCGAAGATGTGGAGAAAAGGGGACTAATGTACTCTGCTGGTGGGAATGCAGACTGGTGCAGCCACTATGGAAAACACTATGATGTTACCTCAAAAAATTAAAAATTGAACTGCCATTTGACCCAGTGATCCCACTTCTAGGAACATACCCTAAGAAGCCTGAAACACCAATCAGAAAGAATATATGTACCCCCATGTTCATAGCAGCACTATTTATAATAGCTAAGAGCAGGAAACAGCCCAAATGTCCATCAGTAGACAAATGGATAAAAAAGCAGTGGTACATATACACAATGGAGTACTATGCAACTGTAAGAAAGAAAGATCTCTTATCCTTTGAGACGACATGGAAGGACCTGGAAAGTATTATCCTAAGCAAATCAAGCCAAATAGAGAAAGACAAGTTTCATATGATCTCACTTATCTGTGGAATATAACGAACATAACAGTCTGAGGAATGGGGTAGTCCCAGAAACGTGGAAGTGGGGTACAGACTGACAATCCCCAGAAGAGGGGGTAGTGGGGGAGAGATAAACCACAGAACTTATATGCATGTATGCATGAACAGTGGACATGGACAACAAAGCTGGGGACAGAGCGGGGAGGGAGGGGAATGGGGAATCAGTGGGGAAAAAAGGAGAAACATCTATAACAAAAATAAATTAATTAAGAAGAAAAAAAGAAAGGAGAAAAATCTTGAAAGAAATCAAGGATGGGTAGCATCCAGTCACAACATTGGTAATTCCAAATTCATTTGGAAATTCTACTTTTATAATCTTTCCCAATTAAAAACCATAGGTTTAGCCCTGGCCGGTTTGGATCAGCAGTTAGAGTGTCAGCCTGAGGTCCAGAGAGACCCGGGTTCGCTGAGGGCATGTACCTCCATTGCAGTTTGTCCCCAGCCCTGGCTGGGTTATGCGGGTGGCAGCCACTTGATGTGTCCCTTTCACGTCAATGTTTCTCTCTCTCTCTCTTCCTCTCCCTCCCTCCCACTCTATCTGAACAAAAAATGGAAAAATGTCTTCGGGTGAGGAAAAAAAAAATACAGGTCTATTTTTTCTTTAATCCTCATCCGAGGACATTTTTCCATTTATCTTCAGACAGAGTGGGGGAAAGGAGAGAGAAACATTGATAGGAGAGAGATACATCGACTGGTTGCCTCACACATGACCCCAACCAGGTCTGGGGACTGAACCACAACCGAGGCATGTGCCCTTGACTAGAATCAAACCCGTGACTCTTTGGTACACAGGCAGACGCTCAAACTGCTGAGCCAAACAGGCCAGGACAATCACAGGTCTATTTTATGATTATCTAATAACTGAAATGGAAAGCAAAGTGAGCAACCGATGCTGAATAAATTGGCATGCCAATTTAATCAATAATAAAAAAATGTAATGAGTTGATTAGTGAGGTGTCAAAACTTGGTTAAATGATCAGATTCAGTAAATCCATTAACTTCTGAGTTTGGCAAAGGCACTAGTTCCCTTTCAAGCACTAAAGAACAGATTCAGTGTTGCATCCAAGTTTTCAGCCCAAACAAAGGATAGTTTAATTGCTTCAGGAAAAGAACCAGTAAGCAAAAAATGAGAATTCAAGAGAGGGGTATAAGCACTAATTCTGGGTCCCAAAAATTACATAGCAGAACTGGCAGAAGTCATCCACAAAACAAGATATGACCTAAATATAGTTCTTTGGCAGTGTTCTTATATCCAGCAATAAGTGTCATTCCTGTTTCCTTTGTAATTGGCACCTATAAAAAACAACTCCTGGTCAATGACACCATGCCTTCTCATAATAAGGGGGCTAAAAAGTAGAAATAATGTAGTAAGAGAAAGAGGTAAATAAAATTATAAGTCCCCAATCTTTTCTTTCTCCATTCCAATTCATCTTTTCCCCTGATCCTGTTATCTACCTTCAAAATCCCATACCTACTCTTAGACCCTGAAATATCTGATCTTTAGAATATTTCACTCACCTTCCCTTTCTTTTCCTTCAAACCTTAGGTTTCCTATTTCTAGTTATCTTTCTGAATTTTCATTTATGAGCCACAACATCACCAAAGAGGAAACAAAGTAAAGTGGAAGTTTCACAAGTAATTCAACAAAAACTGCAAATTAGTAGTGTCATTTGGAACGTTACTTCCCTTGTAAAACAAATCTAACCACATTTCCAAGCCATTATCTATCTTTTGCTAAAACATGAAGAAATAATCTCACCTGATGCTTCATATAATGATGCATATAGGGTGTCGCAATTTTAATAACTTTGAGGCAAAATGGACACAGCAAGTTCTTAGTGTTTTCATGGGACGCTCTAAAATGAGTTTCTACATCAGAAAACGATGATGATCTATAATTGCAAACCTACAAATAAAAGGTGTTTAGGTTAACTTGAAAATTTTTATGATATACAATTACCAATTAACAGTAAGTCATTTGTTTAGAAGAACAGCATGTATGATTAGTTCAGCTCTGGTGCCTACACAATCAAGAATCCCATAATGCAAGCACTAGAAGATAATCTTTGAGACAGAAAAGTTATTTTTCAAAGTTTAGGAACATTTCCCAAAATGTAACTAGAGTTTCTTTATTAGATGTTTTTATCTATCACTGCCTATCCTGACTTGAATTTTCAAGCTCTGACACCTCTTGTCCTATAAAGTTTTTTCTACTACATAAAACATCCTCCTTTAGATTATAAACTGCCTCCAGGATATGGCAATGGCAATTTAGTTTTATCTTGCTTTCCTATTCCTTCAAATTATGGAAAAATACTAGTCCCAGAGCACTTTGTAGTACCCTCTGAATCTAAAATCATTTCATATTTCCCTTGTATACTTATATTCTTCCCTATATGGGAAGATAAGTCCATATGTTTATCTTTTTCCTATAGGGCTTTTCTTTGTCCAGTATAGAAGTGAGTAAACAAAGGTTTGTGGGCCAATTCCAACTCTCTGCTGACCCTACATACATGAATCATATCACAGGACTTTCTGCTAATAAATTATTTACAAGAGGGATTTTACTTTTAATAACAAATTTTACCTAAATGTTTATAAAAGTAAAAGAATGTATTTTATGATGCAAGGAAATTATATAAAATTCAAATTTCAGTGTCCATAAATAAAGCTTTATTGAAACCCAGCCATATCCATTCATTTACTATTGTCTATGGCTGCTTTTGTTCTGTAATGGCAGAGTTGATTAGTTGCAACAGAGACGGTATGACCCTTAAAGCCTGAACATTTACTATCTGCCCCTTTACAGAAAAAAACTTGCTGACTCCTGGCCAGTAGGGTTAAATCTGGTAACCAAAACAACAGAAAACAAACACATCAAATAAACACTAAGTATACAATAAAATAGGAGTATACCTGGCAAACATATGGCATTTCACCGGGTTTATGATTGTCCTTCATATGTTGTAAAAGAACATGCTCTGTTTCAAATGATAATTCACAGATTTTGCAAATGGCTAAAAGTATGGGAGGGAAAGACATTATATCATTTCAAGATATACACACACACACACACACACACACACACACACTTTAAATCATCATGTTGTACATCTGAAACTAATTTAATGTTATATGTCAATTATACTTGAAAATATTTTATTTTTTTATAATTTTCAATTAAAGTATCTTCCTGAGGCAAAGATATATATTATTCATTTTATGCATCGATAAACAAGAATAATAATAACAGCAGAACTGGTGGTGGTGGTGAACAGTTAGTTATACAGTTAACTATGTTCTGAGCTCTTTATTTACATTAACTCACTTAATTCTTGTTACATTATGGAGCAGGTATTTCTATTATTCCCTTTATTCAAATATTAAGAGTAACTTACCTGAAATCAGATAGCTATATTAAGAGGAAGATCTGGGATCTGAACCTATGTGGTCTAGCTCCAAAATCTATGATCTTTAACTACCATTGTAGTTACTTATTCAAGTTTAAATAAAGGGCATTAATTTCACGTTTGAAAACTATGATCTGAGGCTTCTAATTTAGCCCCCAACATATAATGCTCAGGTTACTTACCTTAATTATTTACAAGAATGACTTTAACTTTTGTAATTAATTTTATTTAAAAGTTTATATTAGTTGAAATGTAACTTTTTCAATTTTACCCTCAAATTCCAAAGACTTTTTCTTACTCTTATTTTTCTAACAAGCTTAAGGTTTTCTCAGAATTAGTATCGACAAAAATCAATACTATACAATACTTAAGTGAAACTGTAACTTACTAGAAAATTCATGGGGGGTGTGTGTGCTCTCAATGTGACACTGCAACTGAAATGGTGTGGGAAACTGACGGTAGCAGTGCTGGCAGGTGGTGTGGTTTTCCCAGCTTTCACTGCTCTGCTTCTCAAGTTCCAAATGGTGTTTCATGTGGTTCATAAACCTATAAATGATTGTCAACAGGTGCAAAATTCAGATTTAAAAACAAAAATCGCACAAATAAGTATATAGAATATAGATGTATCACTCAAAAGCAAATCTCAAAAGCCTTAAATTCCTCTAGAAAAGTGTGCACTTTTAAATAAAATACTGAAAGGAAGAAAACCCTACCACCCAAAGCAGCCACAGAGTCGTGAGTAATCTTTTAAGGTCGTGAAGATATACAATAGATTCCAGTTGCTTAAAAGACAAATTACTGGTATTTTTTCTTGTGTCTTGGTTTCTAAATGCATATAATAGCAATTTTAATGCCTACAATTACAAGGACTTTTTGTTTTATTTAATGATACTGCTTTACTGTTGGCACAGACTGTTCATTTTGACTTGCAGACTGTACCCTTTGTAGGCAAAGTCCATTTTTCAGTTTTATATTCTGCTATTTCAGCTTCTCTAAAAGGCTTCTTATGAGCAGGAACTATGACCTTCAATAGAACAGAGTGCAATATACAAGGGAATACCTATTTAAAAGAGCTTACTGAAGCTTTTTGCTGTAGTTGAAAGGAAAGTTATTCAATCAAAATAACAATTTTTAGACTGGGTCAACTATTAACAATTATTCACTTTGAGCCCCTAAAGGAAGTAATCTTAAAAAGAAGTGATAATGTCATCAATTTGAATAGCAATCATCATGAAGGTTATAACATTTATCTTTTTTTCACATATCTGCAACACTACTTCTCGTTAGAAGAGGTTATGACACACCTTGAAATATTTTTTTGTCTTCCTTTGGTTTTTACTATCAGCTCTACAAACACCTATAAAAAATCCTAGTGTTGGCTAAATATTTATTTACACATAGAGAAAAGCGAGCCATTACCATTTCAACTTATCATTTTAACCAATTAAAGTTTATCTATATAAAATAATGTCTTACCTAGCAAGCTTTCTCTCAATTATTATATGAGCCCCCATCAGGAGCTCATACTGCTTAAAACAACATATTTGGAAATGAAGGAAACAAACAAACAAAAAAATCCCAACTTCTTGCAAGGATGTTCACAGAATAAAATAAACCTAAGTGTTTTTGGTGATACTCAATGTAGGGGGAAAAAAAATAACAAACCACAATATGTTCATAAGGCAGAGAGTACAAACCTAGATCTATCAGTTTCTAACCCTTCTCTACAAATATCAATTTGCCTTTCCATTTTTTTACTATTAAGGTAAAATATTATTTAACATATATAAATCCTTTGATTATCAAGTGTTTCATTAGGATTACATTTACTAAGCAATCAGTATTTCCAAAAAAATGCTCAACTATATTCTGATGTTCTAGATATATGTAACTAGTCTTCTGAAACAATAACAAAAAAATAAATGTTTTATTTTCATGTTTAAGACTAAATGGCCTAATCTCAAAGGAAAAACCAAAAAACTGTATTTATTATATTCACTAACATATCTTTTCTGGTGTATTCTACTATTAAAATGGTAAGAATATGGTGACATAGTTTTATTGTAATATTGTTTGAGTGTTATATCACCAAGTACAATATCTCTTCTGGTTAAATGACTAGGACCACTATCTATTGATGGCTATTAAAAATCGATAAAAGGAGATAAATGTGAAAACTCATATAAAATAATAGTTGTGAAAGAATTTTAAAAACTAAAACACTATCATAAACAAAGCACTAATAATTGCTATAGAATTATGGCAACAGTGTATTTCAGGATTTTTCTGTTTCTTTTTGAACCCAAGAGAAATGACAGGAAAACTAAAAAACACTGGGTACAAAAGTTACCTGATGCCTAAAAATGCAAAATACAAATAATAGTTATCAAGGGTAAACATAAAAAGGCATACTTTTATATGTTTGTACACATATACACACACACCTAACCTAAGGAAAGTACAGTAATGTTTACAACTTACTTTGAAATGCGCACACACAAAAAATATAGTTCGAAGAGAGGATAAAAAGATATCGGATAAAGAATACAATAAAAATGTTAATGATAGAATCAAGGTGATAAGTATATAGGTGTCCACTGTAAAATTCTAAAAACATTGCTGAATGTTTGAAAACATTTTATAATTGTGAAAAAACAACCTTACGTGTAAAGCTATAAAACTATATAACCAATGAACAGTATCAATCAATATGTCTTGTTTCTTTCTTCTTGTTAGTAACTCATTTATAAGAATGACAGCTACTAGTTTGCCATGTAACTCAAAAGTTACAAAGTAGTAAGTTCTTAACATTTAAAGTATACATGTATAAAATGTTCAAAATGCCACTGGAATTAAATCTCTAATTTTTAAAGGGGTTAAATTTTAAAATAAAGCAGACATTTTTCCTAGAATTGGTACTTCTCTAAAGAAGGTCACTTTTTCTGAAAGGTAAATGTTCTAAAAAGTATAAATATAAATTGAAAAATTTGAGCATTAAATGAAATTAGCATGGAGAAAGTAAAACTGGACAAAACATAAAGAAGTGGTTCTTATAAAGAAAAGTAAAATTCAAAAGCAACTAAAAACAGAAATTATCTCATGAAAATTCCTAGATCAGATGATATAGGGAAAAGCAGTTAATTTTGCTTTATTTTAAAATAATGTTCATCCTTTATTTTAAAGAAATACTCTAGAAATAAACTCTAATAAAACACAAAAAAGGACAAAAGCTTTTCAGTAAGAGAATCTGCCTCTGTTCTTAGTAGAAAGTGTTAAAATCTAGAATGGCAGAGAAAAAAATTAGATAAACACAAAATTTATATCCAGAGCATTTCAATTTTCAAATAGAAATACAAGTAAGTATTTACATACCTAATATTATTTTTAAGAATTTTCAAGCAACTGAAGCATTTAAAGGTTGTATGAGTCTTCTGTTCTTCCTGGATATCTCCTTCATGTTTTCCATAATAAAAGTCATTAACTAACATGATCAATTTTCCTTTCTCTGAATCAATAGCCTTATTTGTATTTGCTGTACTTGAAAATTCTGTTTTAGCCAGTCCCAAAAAGTTATTTATCATGTCTGGACAGCAGTACTGAAAGAGAAAAACAGAATCTTCATTTATCCTTGAAAAAAAAAATAACAAAAAAATTTTCTCTGTTTATATCTAAGGCTGACCATGTAAAACTATACTTGGTAATATATCTGGAAAAATATTCATCAAAAGTTTGTGGTATATATACATAATCTAAAAAAATTCAAATAAACATTTATTATGTTAATAAACAAAAAAAGAAAAACTTTAAAATTGGGACTTCCTATTGTTCTAAAAGTCTTTTCCTTGCAATTTACTGTTTCAGATGTATTTTTAAAATAACAATTTAAATACTTAAATTAACTAAACTAAAAATCATTCACTTCACATTCATGTCAAGATAGAGTATAGAAAGGAACTGTAGTTTTACGTGCTGTAATGTATATGATAATTATCAAGTGACACAGTAAATTTAATAGTATCTGGTTGGAACTGTATATTGAACATAGCTAACCTGCATTCCCCATACTCAGGATGGTACAAAATGTATGAGGAAAAAAGAAACATCAAGACATAAGTCTTGAAAACTTAAACAGTTACATCTTGATAACAGTTACATCTTGGTTAAATATTTGAAGGGGAAATTTAGTTCCTCCTCAGTAAAATCAAGATGTTACATAAACTGGTTTTAATGCAGAACACTTTCATACAAGAGCTTTTTTCCCCAACAAGATATAACTAAATCATTTATCTATATAATTTTTATGTGTAGAATTTCTCTATGGCAAATTTTCTCAGAGGAAGACCTGCAATAGAAAACCGGAAGTGCTTGTCAAAATGCTAATTCCTGGGCCAACTTCAGACCAACAACCGTAATGTCAAGAGGTAGACCCCAAAAATCTGTATTTTTTAACAGCCATCCAGGTAATTATTTTACAACATAAACAAACTGACTTAAACTCTTCCTAAATGTGTTTTTTAGTACATTAGTAGCAACATCAGAAAGTTTGAAAATCTAAAAGCAACTCCATTCATTTTCTAAGATAACAACATCCACCTCGTCTCCTGTCACAATGAAGTATTAAATCATCGGTGAAACTTTCTGTGTCACATGAGAAGCTAGGCCTTTGATCCAAAACAGACCTATAGCATTTCCTTCAACTGCACTTATTTTGTTCACTTGTCAATTTAGAAACCTATAAAGCAAAAAACACCAAAAAACCCCAACAAAATTTAAAATACATTGAAAAGAGAGGGGAAAAATACTGAATAAAATGAGCCCCCCAAAAGGGACATTTGTGTTTTAGGTTTAAGGTTGTACCCATAAATTAAATCAGGATAACCACATTAGTTTTCTAATACAATATGATCCTCTGTAGTCTACCAAGATTAAATACAATTAAAGTGAAACCACAACAAAAAGAGAAAAATGAGAAAGCTTTTTCTATATGTTCCTAGATTCTTCTTGAAACATAATATTTAAGAGTGCAAACTTAGGAAGGTAAAACTATTTTATTTTTATCCTCACCCGAGGACATTTTTGCATTCATCTTCAGATAGAGCGGGAAGGAGAGAGGGAGGAAGAGAGAGAGAGAAATATCAATGTGAGAGAGTCACATTGAGTGGTTGCCACCCACACGACTCCAATCGGGGCCAGGGACAAACTGCAATCGAGATATGTGCCCTTAGTGGGAACCAAACCCAGGTCTCTCTGGTACGCGGGCTGATGCTCTAACTGCTGAGCTAAACCAGCCAGGGCTTCACAGTGTCTTTTAAACAAAGTTTCATATTCCTATAAAATCGGTGAATTGATAAAACCATTAACAACTAAGTTAAAGGATTTAATAACTGAGAAGACAGCAAAATATCCTAAGTAAAATATTCAAAAGGCAAGACAGCAACTGAAGAGATGATAGTCTTAGATTTCAGGTGTTTTTATTTAAACCCTCATCGGAGGATACTTTTCCATTTATCTTCAGATAGAGTGGGAGGCAGGGAAAGAGAGAGAGAGGGAGGGAGGGAGGGAGAGAGAGAGAGAGAGAAACATCAATGCGAGAGAGACAGACACATCAACTGGTTGCCTCCTGCATGACTCCAACCAGGGCCAGGACTGAACCAAAACTGAGGTAGGTGCCCTTGACCAGAATCAAACCCACGACTTTTTAGTCTGCAGGCTGATGCTCTAACAGCTGAGCCAAACCAGCCAGGGCAGATTTAAGGTTTTAATGGAGGACATGTAGATGGCATGGCTGACCTATAGTCCAAGAAAAACAGGTCATTTTTATTAAGCCCTAGCCCTTCAATACTATTCCATGTTTATCCCTTCTTTTCCTGGGTCAGACATTCTGCAATACTAACAACTTTATTGCCATATACTGTAATTTGATAAATAGCAAACACCATCCAAACACCATTCTCATTTTCATTCCTCCCAGTTGATAGACCATATTCTGTTGCTTTGTTAGGACCACAAAGTTTAGGTAGGATTTTCAAAGCAAAGAAGATGGATACCATTTCTAAACGGTAAAATAGAACTTCCCCCACATGATCATCCTATATAAGTCAACATGTTCCCCTTCTCTTTCTGGGATTCATCAAAAGAGACAACCAAATTCTAAAAATTTTATTTTCATTGAAACTAAGCACCAGATAAAATCTAGACTGCACAACATATGAAAGCACTACTCAAAGCAGACAAGTTTAGATAGAAGACATGCAGTTGAAGTAGATTAGAGCAGTCAAAAACACCTAATAGTAATAGATCTTAGAAAGCCTCAGCAAAAAGATACATTCTAAGTCCCCCATCTCATTTGGTACAGAGAAGCAGAAAAGGCCATGAAAACTACAAATAAAATCAGACACGCAAAATCACACTTTCAGGAAGGCTTTTGTCCAGCAAAGAGTAGTAGGCTGTGAGATTATCCTGGCAAGTTATTCTTCCCCAAAGGAGCCTTGCACAAAATAGCTAGCCCTAGAAATTCCAAACTTGTTCAATGACAGAAACTTATATCTAAACAAAAATAAGATAAAAAGAAGGAAAATGTAAAATTCTGACAAAAACTACGCAGCAGATGCATGCAGATGATAATAGGATAAAATTTCTGCCACAATTTGTAAAAACCTTAATAAAGCAATTGTGTCTATTTGGAAGATCACACAGGCAAGAAGAGATGGCAAGACAAAAAGAAGACATAAAAAAGAGTGGCACACCCAGCCGGTGTAGCTCAGTGGATTGAGATGCATCCCATAGACTGAGAGGTTTGAGTACTGGTCAGGGCACATGCCCAGGTTGCGGGCTCGATCCCCAGTAGGGAGCTTTCAAAAAGCAGCCAATCGATGCTTCTTTCTCACATCAATGTTTCTTTTTTTTGGTACGCGCCCCTAGCAGGAACCGAATCTGATCTGAAGGCCGACGCTCCAACTGCTGAGCCAAACCAGCCAGGGCTCTCACATCAATGTTTCTATCTCTCTCCCCCTTCCTCTCTCTCTAAAAAAAATCACTAAAAACAGTTTTTTTTACAAGAGTGGCAAAATTGAGGTAAAAAATCAAATTAGATAAAGACAAATTAGAATGAAATACAATGGTGAATAGACACTGAAAAATAAACTATGCAATACAGGCTAGTAATGAGAAAAGCAAATAATTTTTTTAAAAGAAAGAGTTAAAACTATTAGAAAGAGATCACTTCCAATACAGATGGCGGCGTAGGTAAACGAAGTACTTGCCTCCTCCCATGACCACAATAAAATTACAACTAAACTACAGAACAACCATCATTCAAAACTGCCTGAAATCAAGCTGAATGGAAGTCCTACAACTATGAAATTAAAGAAGCAGCCACACTGAGACTGTTGGAGGGCCCGAGGCCTGGATGGCCTGGTCCCACACCCACATGTGGTGGATAAAAATCAGGAGGGTACCTCAGCTGTAAAGGTCTTCCCTGAGGAGTGAGGGGTCCCCATCCCACACCAGGCCCCCCAACCCAGGGTTCCAGGGACAGGAAGAGAAGTCCTAGTAACTTCTGGCTGTAAAAACCAGCAGGAACTGAGGCTGAGGCTGCTGGAGCCCCAGGTAGCTCCTCTTCAAGGGCCTGTGCATACTTACTTGAATCACACCCTCCAGGCTCCAGTGTGGGGGAGGCAGCTTGAAAGGCACCAGAGACATGTGGGGAAGAACTGAGTTGTTTGGCATTGGAGCAAGGGCTGGAGAGGCGGCTTTCTCCTGGACAGACCTGCTGGCAGCCATTATTCCTTTGGTGAGCCCTTCCCCGCCAGGGCAGGCAGCCGACTGCCATATCTGGGACTCCAGCAAACTGGCTCATACTGTTTCAACTTGGCTCCTGTTTCAGATTTTCCCAAATTCTCTCAAAAAGGCAGCATCTGGCCTCAGTGAACTCCATTCCTCCCACTAAGTGGCGGCCCTAGGCTTGGCACTAGGAGCAGCCAGCCTTGGTTCACAGCTTGGCTTTGCCTGGGTACCTCCAGGCCCAGCACAAGAAGCAGCCATCTGCAGATTGTTTTATAGCTTATGCCTGGTGGCCCTAGGTAAAACACAGGCAGTGGCTGACCTTGCCCCAGAGCCAGAATACCCAGTGGACAGCTTCAGACCACAGCAAAGCACCACCACCACCCAACCACCTGCACAAGTGACACACTTAAGGAGTAGACTCAGTGGGTACCAGATCCCTGCTGAAGTAAGTCTTTCTCTGTGTAGTGGACCCCTGCACAGCTGGTCCTCCCAGGTAGTCAGAGGTCAGTGGTCAGTGGGCACAGCCTGTCCTTGCAGCTGATCAGATTGAGTAAATCCCTCCCATTGACATGCCAACTGCAATCAAGAATCAATTACAACAGAAGGGTGTACAGTCCACACAAGGGGTGCACCTTGAGGGCACAGCTGAGGTGATCGGGGAGGCCATGCCACTGGACCCTGCAGGACACCTACTAAAATAAGACATCCTAGGAAGCCTAGGAGACACAGAAACTCTACCTAATACACAGAAACAAACACAAGGCAGCCAAAATTGAAAGACAGAACAAAACTCTAGGAAAAGAACTAAACG